CCAGTCAGTTGGCCAAGTGGTTGTTCTCCAGATTTCTTGGCACAAGTTGGTGAGCACATCCAGGGCAGCATCTGTTAGCTGAAATATGTCAATTGCTATACCATCTATTCCTGGGGCCTTATTTTTTGCTATTTCCTTCAAAGCAGCTTGAACTTCTTCCTTCATAGTATATCATATTATTGTCTCATTCAAAGTGGCCATAGCTTGTCCATTGCATCTCACTAATTGTCCAGTACAATGATATTCATGTGTTCCATTCCATTTTTAACAATTTCCAGTTTTCCAACATTCAAGCTACCTACATTCCATGTACCAGTTGTTAAACGATGTTTGTATTGATTTTCCTCATTTCACCTGACTTCCAATCTGGGCTCTACGACTACACTACTATAACTATTCTCTTTATTTAGTGCTCATAGGGTTTTCAGAAGCCTTTTATTAAGGAAGTAAGTGGCCCATCCTGCTTCCTAATCTGTCTTAATCAGGGAACTCTACCAAAACTTGTCCATGATTGGAAGCCCTTTTGGAATTTGTCACACCAGTGGCAAAGATTTTGGTATCACAGCAACCCCAAGTAATCTCTGTAACCTCAGTAATCTCAATAACCTGAGTTATGCAGATGACACAACCTTACTTGCTGAAAGTGAGGAGGACTTGAAGCACCTGCTGCAGCAGATCAAGGAATTCAGCCTTCAGTACGGATTGCATCTCAATATCAAGAAAACAAAGTTTCTTACCTCTGGACCAATAGGCAGTGTCATGATTGATGGAGAGGAGATTGAAACTGTCAACAGCTTCATCTTGCTTGGACCCGCAGTCAACACCTTTGGTAAGAGCAGTCAGGAAATAAGGAGACACATTACACTCGAAAAATCTGCAGTTAGGGACCTTTCCAAATTATTGAGGAGTACTAATGTCAACTTGAGGACTAAGGTGTGTCTGATTCAGGCCATGGCCCTTCCAATTACTTGCTGTGCATCTGAGACATGGACAATGAATAAGGATGACAGAAAAAGAATTGAGGCCTTAGAGCTATGGTTGTGGAGAAGAGCACCAAACATCCACCAAGAGAACCAACA